TACCACTAAAAACACAGCAGGTCCTCGTGACTATGGGGTTTGCCCCGTCTGCTGTTCGTCACGAAAGTGTGTAATAAAAAAATTTCCAGATAACTTAACACTCTCTCTAATTCACCATGTAACCGTCTGCACATGACGGCTTTTGATACCGGCTGACACACTTGAGTAGTACGGTTGTACATTTGAAATTCGGACACCTAAGATGCTTATTTACATGTGTCTACTGGGCCGGATTAAACGACGAACAGGATTGTTTTGAATTAAAATGAGAAACCGGACAATAGCTGCATCCACAGAGAAAGGAAATGAGTTCTAATAAAAAACGGACTGGTGTGGATATCGGTCGCACAGAATGAAACGTGATGAGTCCCGGTATCGGGCGTTCAATAAACCTGTACATCTCCTTCGAACGAGTATGTCTGAGTGAATCGTTCGCTGTACGTGGGCAGAACTTCAAGCAAGTTATTCGGACTTCGCAAATGAAGGTATCACACGGGTCCGCATAACTAAACCGCTCGCAGGCAAAATAACAGCCATCATTACAACTGTACTAGTCAAGCTGGGATCTACAAATCATTGGAATTTTGCCTAGCTAAACTATCACCCTAGCAAAAGGGTTGCAATTCAATCCCTAATCTGAGGTAAATGCGCAACAGAAGATAATGCTAATAACATGATTCATTTGGTGCCGTAACTTCGTCATGTTGTGGACTGTTCACCACGAAACTCCAGTTAGTCATGAAAAGAAGCAATAACCAGCTGTGGAAAGCAGTAGACGGTGTAGTACATATCGAAGCCATTTGAGGCGGTGTGCTGTAATCACTTAGGTGAGGAAACCGCCATTTATACCCAACGCCAGTAGCGGCTGTTGAAATGATGTTGTCCCCTGGACACAAGGAATGCCTCGAAAACAATCATGACTGAATGTTGACAGTGGTCGAGCCTCATCACTGTGAAGAGGTTGGGTTTTGCAACCTCCAAACTAGAAACTTCGTTAGGTGGCAAAGGGCATTCGTCCTTTCAAAAAAGGACGGAGGACGAAGACACAAATGCATTAGGTTTTTGCTATGGGTGATGTGATCTCGTCTCCAATGTCACCACAAGTTATTACTCCGGAGGGAAACAAAGTTGCCGACGCCATCATTGACCACCAACAATGGTGACTGGTTCCTGTGCCAGAACGAAGGAAAGCGCATATTGGAACCGAAAAGCAGCTCGTCACGGTTGGTATTGCTTGACGAACGCATNGCATACACAATATATATATATATATATATATATATATATATAATACCATCCGCTTGTAGACAAGCATAATGCCAATGCAACAACAATAATTACAATAACAATTAAAGGGTGAAGGTGGTTGGAGTACAGAACAGGGTGAAAAGGGGGGACATTTAAACACGGGGAAATGAAAGATATCTGGAATAGCAAAATTTTTTGTGTTTCACCGTACACCTTTTGCAATTTTTTTGTTGTTTTACGGGGCACGGGATTTCGACAGGCAGACCGTAGAGCATTCGCGCCACTGACTTCTATTCTGGGCCATATCTCTCAGCGTCTCTAACCAACGACAATCCTCATCCCTTGGGCCCCAACCTGCAAGGCGGGCTGCACCAACGAAGCCAAAGCTGAAGCCAGCTTCTTCATGCCTCTAGCCCGTGTCATGGTCTGACCGCCGCGGCGCTTCTTCCAGCCTTGCCCGGCATGTGCAAAGAGAGCACGGAAAGGTAATCAATGGGAAGGCATACGAAATACATGACCAAGCCATCGGAGGTGGTGTAAAGCGACTACTTCTGTTAGAGGACGGCTATCCGCACCCAACACACGACGACGAACCTCGTCATTACTCACCCGATGTTCCCACCAGACACGAACAATGCTTCGGAGACATCGGAGGACAAATACAGAAAGTCGATTAGCATCCAAAACACGGAGGCCAGGTCTCGCAACCGAAAAGGAGAACGCTACGAACCCTGGCGATGTACATCCTACCCTTAAGGGACAGTCGGATGTCATGGCGGCGCCACAAGTGTCACAGGTTGGCGAAAGCTGCTCTAGCTTTCGTTATTCGTGATGTAATCTCGTCCCCAACACCACCACCAGCTGCGATCAAGCACCCAAGGTACTTAAAGCTCTCGACTACTTCTAGCTGATCACCACAGTGAGTGCAGGCACAGGCTCCTGTCAGTCTTGAACAAGCACTTTGCACTTGGAAGGTGAAAAGCACATACCGTACCTGGATACCTCTATCGCCAAGCGGTTCAGAGCGTTTTGGACTGCCTGTGTATTGTCACACAGCAAGGCGATGTCATCGGCACATTCTAAGTCGAGGACACGGTTCCCTGGGAGGAGTTCGACTCCACCGTTTGCTAGACCGGACAAAGCATTCTGTAGAACATCCTCTATGACAACGTTGGAAAGGAATGGGGATATAGGGCAACCTTGCCGAACTCCACTGGAGACGGCGAAGGGTGGTAAAAGCTGGCCATAGTCTCTAACCCGATCTAAGGTATGACGATACAGCTTTTTGAGGATCGACACACTTCTCAGATACCCCATTCCTCAACAAAGAGTTCCATAGTGCGGTCCTATAGACAGAGTCGAAGGCCGCGCGGATGTCTAAAAATGCAACGATCGTCGGTCTTTGGTAAGCATGACGGTGCTCTAGCNTGCATCCACGACCGGCACGAAACCCAGCCTGCTACTCACGCATAGCGTACAATGGGCGGAGAATGACGGATGCCAACAGCTTTGACGCTACTGGGATAAGGCTTATACCCCTATGATTGGCGCAGTCGTTGCGTGGACCCTTTTTGAAGATGGGGACAACAATTGATTCCCCCACGAGGAGAGGATCTGCTCAGTGTTCCACACTTTTGAAAACAGGACTTGTAATTCTCTAACAGGCATTATTCCACCATCTTTAAATCGAGCAAGGGGAAGGCCATCGGAGGTGGGTCTGTTGAGACAGACCATGGGACGTACGCCGGAATAGCAGTGAGAAGCTGATGCTGGAGGCCAGTTAAATTGTGCTTTGAAGTGCTTCGCCCAACGTGCAAGATGTCACTGTTGATTGTGAATGGGCGAATCGTCAGCTTCGCAGATCGTTTCGCTCACACCGAATGCTTAAATGACGGTGAATCATACATAACGGTCAGTTTTGAATGATTTGCAGCCCTTCGCTACTTTATCTGGAATGGCAAAATACTTTTTCCATGCAATTCTGGTGACTTCCGGTTGGCGTAATCGTGCCGGTCCTAGAAGAGGAACGGGAAAACGCAGCAGTTGACCGAGAAATGGACCGGTGCGTGAATCGTTCAAGCATCAAGTGAACGAATCAGGTCTTCCGTCCCAGAACAACTGCATATAATTCCGCATATTTAATCTAACCGAATATTGTATCGTTATTTTGGTTTTGCTCTCGGCGATTTAACCCATTCCCTCACATTTTTCTTTATTCACAGGTCAAACAGGCACCTCAATGTTATTAACGAAAGTCATCATGTGGATCATTATACAAATCCAATTCCGAGTTGACGATTAGGTTGAAATAGAAAGTAGCAAATGCGTAGGCAAGAGTGGAAACCAACTACACCCAAAGACAAAACGGATAAGATCGCAAAGAGAAGCATACTGGTATGTGGTGTGCACGATAAGTCTAGGAAATTTCTGTTGGTTTACGTGCGTCGATAAGGGTCTAAGTATACAGTATCTTAGAAACTACAATTATAGAGAGCAGCGAGGATAAACTGTGGTGTCTTCGTTGACTTCGATGTATAAGCATTTCGATGTGTTCAACAAGTTTGATGAAGCGGGGTTTTGAGTACTGAAGCTCATTGTTTGCACGGGAAACGCACTAAAACACTAGGTTTGGCGGGCATGTTATCGTTCTACATCCCGCTAGCACTTGGGTTAACCGGACACAGACCAGTGTCCCGGATGATAGCTTGTACCACATCCTTTTTTCAGCATGCCCTCCACAGCGCAGATAAGTTGCTGGACTTCGTTGCCTAAAGCCAACCATAAGCAGCTCGGAATGATGATCATAAGGCTCATTAAGCAACATACAGAGTTGGACGACAATAGAGCTTCTACCACCAAATAAAAGGGGCCAGTAGTGATAGAGTCAGTATCAAGAGTCTCCGGAAGACAACGGTTCAGAGCACTTCATAANACTTCATAATCGTCATCAACTCAGATGATCATTCAAAAAACAAAGGCATTTATAACGGGGCCAAACGGGATAGAAAAACAGTCAGATCCAGTTTACTTAGGATGTAACTCCATGTTGGACTTTGAATAGGAGTTCAATTGACAGAACTTCTGAGTGATAACACTTGGTAGCTATGTGCTTGTGATCAAATAACTGTATGTACTTGGTGTGTTACGGCTGCGTGTCGACCGTCCGTGAGCTGTCACTGTGATATTGCTCTTTGAAGAAGGAGCAAGTGGTAACCGATGCTGGTCCCATATTATGTATAGATCGTACCCTACCATGGTAAGGTGCTCTATGCTGATGTAACCTCGACTGCTGGTCAATTAGATGTGATATCTCAAACGGAAGTTGGCTTAGCTGGACCGCCCAATGCTTATATGAATCTTGCAGCCAACTGCTATGGGGGAGTTTTAATAATTTCCCATTTGAGCAGCCCAATGATCGGGCACTATTTATCACCTTTTGGTCACTAGCTTTAACGACTATCAACAAAAGTATGGGGAAACCGTGACCAACAATGGAATGATACACAACTATCCGGATGGATTGTTCGACTGTAGCTTCATAAATAACAGATCTATGCAACGATCTGAGGAGTTCAATCATGATCATTTACGTAATGTTAATAAATCCATTGCTGAACAAATGAAATGGTAATCAACTGGAGGTGCCGAGTTTTGTTATTGAGCCGCCAACCAAAAATATGAAGAATGAACCACTTTTATTATCAATCCTATTGTGATGGAAATTTGAAGAGATGAATCACATAGTCACAGCGACCGACTTCTTCTCTGGAAACCGAAGTACTCGGACTCGGAGCGACGAAAGATATAGGGCTTCCATAGAACATAATAGATATGATGTTGAGCCGGGCTATCGAAAATCTATCCATCATTAAATTTGGGGGGTAATGGCAACGGTCGTCAAAGCTGTGCGCATGCTAACAGTAATTTTAATAGCCTAACCGCTATCAACTGATCTTATGGAGACAGTCAATGGATACACACAATTACTCAAATCCACACATCTAGTATACGTGACTGGAGAAATACGATGAAGCCACGACTAACTGAATGCCAAACAAGAAGAAATAGTCAGAAGATCGCAATCCTTTCAGTGGTGACTTAATCATTATGTGCAAATTGATACGAAAGTGTCGCAAACACGACTAGTTATTAATCATAGACAAAATTCATGAAGTGTATCGGAGTCAGTCAGTCGGTCGGTGAAACAGCAGCTTTCTTTGTCAGACAGTGTCAGATGATGCGCATCTTTCGTGGAAGATGGCTAATCGATTCGGACGCAGTGATTTTTCAACCCACGTTCGATGTCGAAGTATCGATAGCGGTATTAAAGGTGAAGCAGAAAAACAAAACATAGTCAAAAAGTATTGATAGCAAACTTAAGTCCATTAGCGCGTGTTTACCACGACACAATTTAATCTAATGCTCAAACTGAAAGTGATGGCAACTTTGAACGATAAAATAATATAATTTCGAAACGAAAATAGAAGCAAGAAAATAACGCAGACACTACTTCACTGTGTGAAGAAAACGACGTGTATCGGCTTATGGTTGAATTACAGTGAAGAGCTGGATCAAAGATAAACGAACTACACGCGCATCAAGACCGATTCGCTAAGTTAAGGTAGCTCATATCAGAAGACCACAAACGCTCACCTAATCGTTTGAAAATCAGCGTCAACTCTTCTTCCACAGTTGAACCCGGGAAAAGCGGCCACCCAGTGGCCATCTCGTAGAAAATGCATCCGACACCCCACATATCAATGTGAGTGGAATATTCAGTGGAACCGAGGAGAATATCCGGAGGACGATACCTAGAAACGAAAAGGGATTAGATGAATAGGGTAGGCAAATGTGTGAAATTAAGTTTTTAGTGAAACAAACGACTATGAACATGTGAGGCGGAGCAGTAAGAGAGGCTAAACTCGAAAGTTACACATGGAGATTGAACAATTCGCAATGAGACAAGACAATTATTGTGAATGCAGTATGTGAGCAAATCGAAACGCGCAATCTCCATCAAAAATCAAGACAGGGATGTATGAAGACGAATGCAGTTCTACACAAACCAACCGACTTAACAAACAATCCTATAGCAGCCACGAATGGCGAATAAAACTCAAGTATTTTATTGTTTGGCAACTTTGGGAAGGCTACTTATACATGTATTCCAATTGTGAAAATATCTGGTACCTCGGTGCAATCGAAACCACCCGTGAACACTGCCTACGTCATCCTTAATCGTATGCTGAGCCAAGAGGCTTTGATTATTTAAAATTGGGTTACCCACTTAACTCACCGCGGTATGCGACTACATCACGTAGCATGTAGGCTGACAGTTCATGGCAGGTTTTTCTTATAGTCACCGGAGGAGCCCCACTAGTGGAGAATACGCTGTACAGGGGTGTGGGCGGATATGTGCGTAGTTTTCACTCTTACCGAGCTGATCTGTTCACAACGGTATCATGTGCAAAACCTTCACACAAAGGAAACCACCCTCAGTAGGACCCTTCGTGAGCAATGAGAGCTTGGTAGTTTTCCCATGATACTAGGCGAAACATACCATTCAAGTGCACGAACGGGGAAATTAACATTATTTACTGAAATCACAAGCACATTGACCTATTATTATAAACATTGTTATCATCATCATTGAAAAACATTAAGATGTTGGTGAATTCGGATACACAGGTTGGAAAAATTGATGAACAAACTGAACTAGTGGAGAAAATCCAAAAATGAAACGATCCAGTAGGAAAAAATCAAAGATTACAATGCATTCATCTGGGACGGTTTAATTTATGGGACATCAATCTGTCTGGCGCACCCGAACACCTGTTGTGACGGAGATGCGAACAAAGGCAAATGACGAGACAAACCGGTCCAAATGCAAGGACGACAAAAAAGCCAAATTGGCAACAGATGTGCTCGCATACCGCACACACACCCGCTTGACAGAGAACCACAAGGGGGTGTCGGCGATGTGAAGGAATATGACCCTCCCCGATGGAATTATACAAGCAAAGAGTCAGTGAACATAAGCAGTGACCTTGAAAAAAAGAGCATGATTAAATTGGTTGAGAATTCTCCGTCTGCTCGATGAAAGACGGGAAAGAGCTTTTTCGTTTGCAAGAGAAGTAAAAGACAGGCACTATTTCACACAATCAGACGCGCGGTCCTACACCAATCTAGTGATGTGTAAATGCGTAACTTTGGAGAAGGATGGGGGATTATTCATGGACTAAGGAAAAGAAGGGTTCGTCCGGAGATTAATCCCCCAACATTGGTCCCATGAATTTTCATGTGAGATGCGACAATTTTAAGAGAAGAGGAAACTCGAGGGATATCAACTTGAAGTAACTTAAAACGGGAATCGAACACAGATACCAACTCTTAGTTTGCGGAAATGAAGCATCGCGCCTAAATAAAAATTCCTGTAAGAGATATTCCCACTGAGTCAGCGAAAACGAGTGGAACTTAGTTGGAGGATCCATAACACATGAGTAGTGGTGGCGCAGTGGTTTAGTCGCTGTCACCAACGTGCTTTGGACCTGAGGTTCGAACTCGGACACGGATACCCAATTTCGATGGTGGGCGGCTTCGTTGTCGTCCAGTTCAATACCAATACTGACTTAGCGGGGCCTTATTTGGTTCGACACACAAAGTCCCAGTTCCCACCACTGAACAGGTGATTATGGGGTTCACCCAGTCTGCTGTTCATTACACAAAAATGTATGTAATAAAAACAACATCAAATACAGTTAATCGTCAAATACTATCGTGGCTTATACGGATACCTGGAAGGGTTGTTTAGACAACTACTCGTTGTCACAAGCAAGATATTTGTTGGAAATATATACCGCTTATTCAGAGAATCCTCCATCACTTTTGACAGATGTAAGGGTTCAAATATGATCATAGGTGAAATAAACTGAATGAACACGGGCGTATGAACTTGAAATGGATTGAAAACAAACTGAACCACTAGTGTTGATCGCTTGCGATTGACTGTATATGCAGTTGTCTCCAGAATCATAAGGATCATAGAGTCAAGTTTTAGTTTGAAGTGATGGTGGTCGCACAAATGCGTGAACACTTAGAGAGGGGAAAAAAGAGCAGTAAGACGGAAGTTTAGTCAGTCTTTCAACAAGAACCCGTGCGTACGAAATTTTAAGGTAACTGGTAAATGTGTTCCCCTTTTTAGTCCGTTAAACTTTGCGTTGCAAAAATGTTTTGTGGCATACTTATATCGTGTGTACACGGACATAAGCTAGCTTGCTCGGCACCAATTATCTATCGCCAACATTTCCGATGGTCAGTCACAGAACTGTCACAACTCTGTCTTGTATTGAAAAGATGAAATACAAAAACAACAATAACGGATGACGTCAACGACATCTTTCTGAAGGCCAGGAGGCTACCGTTTTATGTCTTAAATCACTTTCTATCCCAAATCAGGCATTTTGTTTTTGCTCGCATTTTGCCCCATTGGCTTTATGGGTCCCCTGTTATCTTCCCCGCTCTTTGTAACGAAGACCACAAACTCATTTCCCAAACCCTCAAGTTTCTGTCAGTATGTGGTCTCATACTACGGGAACATATGGTACGGAATGTGGTGGTACACCACCTCAATTCCTGTAAAACATTTTCGAAGACGATTTTATCTGATTTTTCTCATCCCCTATTTCCTACAGTTTCAGTTTTGACACTTAGTTGTTGACACCCGTTCCAGTCATAAACAGATAAAGGAAGGCATCGAGGCTTACACGGGTTCTATTGTCCCGTAGCTCACCAGATTTCCCACTAACCATGAACTCATTACAGAAAATCTGCGCGAAATGCTGAACTAAACCTGTTAAACACCATTGTATGCTAGTGGTTGTGTTGTTGCCGTCCATTTCACTTCTTTTAATTGTTTTATTATATTTCGCATTTTTTAATTGTTGATATACTGTGGTTGTTATACACCCGTGGGGATTGATAAAACGACTCCTTAACCGTGACTTGATTTGACTAGTTAAACTCACAGCAAGACAGGTTTATGACGTTTCTTCTAACCACATCAACCCGATGGCTGATTCGTCCGAATGATAATCACTCAGCTGTGCGCGCTCGGTAGACAAAATAGTGGTAACGACCACAGAACGTTAATCAAACAAACTGAATTGCTTGTGAAAACAAACAAACAAAGACCGCCTGAATGCTAAATGGTTATCAGTTCACTGTAATGGTATTTATCCGGGGCGGATTAGATCAGGTGAGGCACATGCAAACACAAAACTATGGTCATTAGGAGCAAGGTCACCAAAGGATGGGCTAAACGGCAAGAAACTGCAACTACTAAGAATTCAAACTGATGAGAATCAGATATCCGAAGATCAGATACTAACTTCAGTTTGTATTTCGCGGTTACACGAACGAAAGGCCCAGCTACATTGTGCACAGAAACTATTAGATGGAGACACTAAACACCCTGACCGTCTAGTCTGAAACTATCCACTTAGGTTCTTATTACGTGTACAATATCAATGAACACCCGGGACAGCATCACTTAATATTCATCTCTCAGGGTGCATAGGGCGATTCTTTGACTTGATTTGTCTTTCAGTCGGAATGTACGCTCCTTCAACTGCGCACGACGGAATACACTGATCCAAATCTAGATCGCAAATCCACATTGTCACGAAAGGAGGATAGTTTGTGGTTAATAAATCGGGCATCCATCATCACGTAAATTAAATGTAATCGTCAATTTTCATTACGAGTTATCTGTGGTGCGCATCTATCGAAGTCATTCGAACTATTATCTGGACAAGATTCTTCACCGAAAGTGAAACCCACAGTTGTTTACTTCACATGAACATCGCATAAGTAAGCTGGATTCATAGAACTGTTACATTATCGCGTCACGTCAAAATAGGCTTAATACACCAACGCGGTGAGTTTTCAGCGTTTTCGACTAGGTACATGAGAGAAACTCATAAATGAAACGAGCGTGAAGAGATATGACAATCGTATGCAATGAAAAGAAAACAATGCCAACGCGATAGGTGATTTATCAAGTCCATAATGATCGATGTCCGATTCGCTAAGATAAGACCAGGATAAGGGATGACATTATTTAGGTGAGTCACGGTGCGTGCAATTAAAAGCCGGAATTTGGAATCTTAGTTTCAGTTTTTACCATCATTAACCATGCATTTTTGCGAGCCGGTTTTGGAATGAGTATAAGACACATATACAAAGATGGATATGCACGCATTACATAGTAAAGTGCTAGCGAATTGATCACATGCGTCGAAATGCTTGCACAGTGAAATCAATCGTTTTGGTAATACCACTGTAACGGGAAGGAAGTTTCACGAATTTGAAAATGAGGACAAACCGTATCTATCTAAGACCTGGGAAAAATACACGGGATCAGTATGACCAATATGGAAGAGTGCAAGCTATCACAAATATAAGAATTACATTTGGGGAAACATCAAGCGTTTGAATGAGAAATCGTAGACAGTCCTCCAGCCCTAAGGTAAAGGATTTCAACACACGTCTGAAAAAAAATTTATGAAGATACGACTCCCAGGTATTTTACAGAATCGATCTTGGAAACAATTTCATTATTCCAAGTACGTTTTGGTACGTTAGCGAAAAAATGGCCGAATGATGATAGTCTGATTTAACGCTATTTTGAAGCATGCACAGAATAGCAATTATTCCTAGCAAGAATGGTATAGTTGCAGTGCCCAGAAAGGTTATTGTACCATCTGCTCTACATGAACAGATGACAAAACAATTTACTGAGTCCGCGAACTACACATGTTCGATATTTGCGGATTAGCAGTTGTGTGACCTCGATTCTTTTAATCGGCTGTAAGAGCCTGTTATGGTTAGACAGAAAGAGAGACGGAATGAACAAGTCCATTTACGTCCAATCAATTGACTGCAACTAAGCGTTCAACATAATTTGGAATAAACGAGGAGATATGGGTACTGGCAAATTCTTACAATGCACCAAAAAGATTTTGAGGTTAGGCATGCTGCCAGTAGGTCGTCGCATTGGCAACAGAAACAGTGAAGTAACTGTCTAACTGAACGAGTAAAGAAGAAATTGAACGTGCATAATTAGATGTATATAAAGCGACCCCAGCAAACCGGATATTGTGCTGACAAGAGAACAATGAGGACGGAACGGGAGGAGACACATGACTCACCAAAGTGTGACCACCTCATTTGAATAGGTCTTGATTGGAATCGATTTCGCCCGGGCTAGACCGAAATCTGCTAATTTCAGGTCACCGCGATCAGTGATGAGCAAATTTTGCGGCTTCAAGTCCCGGTGCAAAATGCGGCGACGATGACAAAAATCAAGACCACGTAGCAGTTGATACAGGAATAGTTGTACATTGTCCGGATGCATGATTCCGTGACAATCGTGTAGATACTGCTTTAAATCCCGATCCTGTCGAAACGGAGGCGGATGGAAACGTTTGTAAAAGTTACGAGAAACAGACGTAATGTAGAGAAACGACAGTCTACCAATCTCGATCGACAGATATTTACAAGAGCCATTGATCACAAATATAAATATATCCAGTGGGGTATAAATAAATCGCTTTACCGGAAATAAACGACAAATGAATTGGAAGAGAGACATATGTTCGAGGTGTCATAACATGATGTCAATGACTGAAAGTGTGAAACGGCACTCTGTTGTCGTATTCAGTCTACGAGGTCAGTCGACAAAACAGAAGACAAAAAATGCACGCGCCAGTTTCGTGGAGCCTGACGTAAATAAAACTATTAATAACAAGAAAAGGCAGCTCAAAACAGTGTACCTTCGGTCAAGATGAAACAGAAGTAGGGGTGAATTTGTTGAATAACGATTACGTTGCTTCCTCTTGGTATAACTACGAAGATGAAACGAAGTTAGTGTATATTTGAATAAATTAACCGCTACGAATCAACGATTCAGTTATTCGGATATGTCAGTGAATAAAACACATCCCAAGGCGAAAAAAACGCTAAGTCGACTAAGAACAATGGAATCTTATCAGGGGGGACACCGAGGGGTAAGTGAGAAAGAGGGGACAGAATAACCAAATGAAGGAGTCAGAATGGTGTGGTAACAGGATCATCGCTCAGTGATGACGTATACAAAATTTGCATACACGATATGCCATTTGACCACGTGAACGAACAGTCCCGTTGAAAAAACATACGCGATCATCAGTTTTCTACTGGTTCAGGTGGTCGATTCGGTAGTAAAAAAGCGGTAATGTGGTGTTGATAGTGTTGGTGCGACACGAAAGATTTGTGTTCCTGTCCCATTGTTCTGGCCATAGCGAGACACGCACATTTGGACGCCTTCGTTACTTTCGTCTTGAAGGATCGATTTCTTGATCGACAGATCCGCGACACGAACAGGTGACTGGTGTGCATTTTTTAATACTGCACGCGAAAAGCGAACGGACGGGATGAGATTTCGTCCAGAAGGACAGTGGTGACCGATTACAAGTTTTCACTTAACACGCGAACTCATTCCACGCGACTCAATACCTCCTCATTTTCTAGCAAATTAGCTAAGCCTGTGATTTCTCAGATAACATGAAACTTGATAAGAACGAAATTCTTTTTGAAGTGGAACAATAAAGAGCACGAATCAGCGACGAAGTTCTGTAAGCTACTGAGCACTTGACTCATCAAACGTTCACGCTTCGATCACAAAGCGGCGGTAGACAGAAACTTGATACTACATATTAACCACCGCACTGGGTGAAGCAGAAGGGCAGATGAAGCAAGAATGCATACCTTACCGGTCAATTAGATGTCTCCATGCAGAGGTTTCGGGAGCTTAGTTACCCATAATTCCCAAACAGTACTTTGTTCTTGAATTACACTTGAATATCACACCGACAATCACGCGCGTCATGCGACACCTAAACTACGAACAGGTGACGATGTATGGTTGCATGCACTAACCGGTGATAACATGATCACAGTGCTTATTGCAAACGTTGGTTCAGGTTTTCATAGAGGTCATGTGGATTCATTTCTAAAATGATACAGACACTACCGTTAGACGCATGTTTATGAAACTGCGCTGGAAGAGAGACAAGATGACAATGATGAGTGTGGAAACCGACAAGAGTTGCTCAGTTACTCCCTTCAAGAAATCACAATGAATAATGTGAACATGAAGCTCTGAATGATTCGCTTGGATCTTAAACGAGATGTGAGTCGCACCACGTGGAAAAAAGGTTGAGAGTAGGATTGAAAAGCGCGAATTTCCCCCCCCCCCCCTAGATAAAGATCAGTTGTGCCAAGGTGAACGGCGAAAAGCTAATAATCGAGTACTACTTATTTCCAGGCCAACTCACTCCTTAACAAACTGTGCCACGACAAAATATTTTTAAGTGAATTGTTATAAACATTGCCGCGATGAAGCAGAATGAATTTGGCACGCAAGAATGAATTAAACGATCGAGCAAATTATCTGTGGACCAAAGAGATGAATGAAAGGGGAACAACTATCGGACAGGTATTTCAGGTTGTAAAGAGAACAAGTTTAGGCAGTGGCAATTGTTGACTGACAAAAAATATGGTTCTGTGATCGATTGAACTAACGAACCAACACTGCTGATAAATACCGAAACTGCATCCTTCGCGCAGAAAGAAACAGTGCTTCCCTAGTGCACATGGAGCAAACACCTACAAGCCAACACCTTTTCATTAATGAAACAATATTGATGAGATGGTGTTTATGTCTGTACACCATAAAGCATTATTTCGGTGTTCACTTCTCCCTCAAAGCAGTTCTCTTCAAATTTTCTCGGTGAAAGAGGACATGCAGCATCAGATAATCAAAATCAGTGAGCCCCAGCTGCTTGAAAGTATTTTACGAATTGGCCGATATACATATATATATATATATATTCAAGAGATGAAAATAAACATGGCTTCCCGATGCAACAGAACGGAGTGAGCATTGACGTAATCGCATACCATGGAGTGACGTTCTGTTCTCCCCTCACTCAATTCACAGTCCAACGGGACGGACGGGACCTAATGGGACAGCAACTTCAAAATACGTGCACACAAAGTACACACATAGACATAGATCAATTAAACGAGAACCAGTTCGTAAGGGTAGCTCGGTACACTTTCGAACGGATCTGGTTACTGTGTGGTCTGGTTAAAATTTATAGGGAAATATGAAGCAAACGTGATACATTTATTCAATCACAGAAAGAGTGAAATACTAAATCAGTTCAGGGAACGTGAGAGCTTATTTGAAGCAAAAAATAGACAAACCTTAAAAAATTGTTATTCGGATAGAAGACAAGATGACGAACGTACTACAAGAAGATCGCAGCCACAAACATTTAGGGAAATAACAGGTGAAGTAAGAACAACAGAACCCCATGTATGAGTGGTCGACGTGGATGGAGCTATACCCCAGGGAAGTAAATTACTCTCATGATTTTGACAGAGAGGCTACGCAAGAGCTCATCCATCAGCTGCTTGCACGTCACNCACTCTGATCGATTTCTTGAGCTAACTTAAATTCTATCTGGCCAATGGCGAACGATTTTTATCCTAATATCACTCTACAAAGTCCGATATTTTTCATGGTCAACACAGTGAAGTCTCTATAGTTCAGATGGACTTTCACCATTGTTAGCGAAAACATAAATCACAATCCGATACAATGACATATACATACGCATGAAAAATGGTGGAGATCTGATGGAACGTACGAGAAGTGTGTCAGTTAGATACACAAAAAATTGGCGAATATCTCGATTGCAACATTAAATGCCACCGTGTGGTCCTGCTAGAATGTGAATCGATAACGGATGTGGAATCGCATAGAATTGGAGAACAATTTTCACCGTCACTTGTTGAGTAATCGTTCTTACGAAATGGTTTGTTTGTGTGTGACAGTTAGATAGCGGTGGAGATAGGCCTGACAAGGTGTATTACCTTAACCAACACACGCCAGTCTCAGCAACACACGTTTCGCTATACGTCAAGTGCGCCGAGCCAGTAACAAGCGTGGGAGTGAATTTGCCGGATATCAGTCTATCAGTCAAAATAGAATGGTCGACATGATAAGCGGACGGCAGAGGAATAACACGACACATCGGCGTTCTCGAAACACACACAGCGGTTCAAAGCACGCGAACGTGATAGCAGGACGGCCGATGTGTATGATCGATCCAAACCGGAAGTAATGTGCAACCTATGGCAGGAAGTAAGTCTAGCGAGTCTCATCCCACGGACCAACCTAACCCACACTCACACATGCTATACCATCATTACAACCGCTCACAGTTATTCATCCACTACTCCTGTACATAGTAGTTGCGTGTGTAGTCAATCGTGAATTTCTGCGTGTGCAAAAGCATTCGGTACACAACCATGACGAAATCCGACGCAGACACAACAACAACAACCGAAGCAGTAATGCCGGCATTATGATCAATGCAACAGTCGTGACTTGTGGGATAGATGGAAAGAAAGCAAATCAGTTCTTCGCTTATCTCAATGCAAACGCGCGTGGAGTCGAGCATGCATCTGTGGGAACATCAACCGAGACGGGCACTGAGGAAATTGTTGCGCACGCAAGTCCGACCCGACCGAGAGGTAAATAAGGCGGACATCAATCTAAGGATGATCAGTTGACCTAGACACGTCGTGACCAACAACTGATGCATGAGTGTGTTCTTCGATGGACAAACATTCCAGAAACCAATATGAAGCCAGACGGTATGCACAATTACACTCACAACCAAATCGAACAAAGTAAAAAAGACCAACGGGTTAATTGTAAACATAGTCTACACCCAAACCAAGTTTGAAATCGCTCTGGGAGTCCCCCTATTGATTTTTGCGTGTACGGAGATGAGCGAGCGTTGCGCCAAAGACGTATAAGAAATACAAAAATACCAAAAGATGTTCCCCTTACCCCAATAATTTTAAAAAAATTCAACAAAAGACTTTGGAAACCGTTGGATATCCGCAGGTGATTGCGTGGAATGCACAAACACTTGACCGTGCGATATGGTCAATGCACGTAACATATGCATGAAATGTGACCCGTGGAAGCGAGCTACGTTAATGAAAGGAACCTTAGGGATGCTGTGAACAAATCCTGAAACATAATCACGCTGTTCGAAGCAGAATTTTCTGGACTACAGTTCCGAATGAACAGCAAACGGTCAGTTCATAGTCGTAGCAACGTCAATCGATTCAGAACGGTTGTCACTCATATTTGATCTACAGGAAGCAGTGTAGATTTTTATTTGAAATGATTGTTGCTTGCTGTCTATCGATGAACAATTATTTTACTGAACATGAAACTGTAGCAATCTATAAATTCGGGTAAAATATTATATAAATATATATATATATATATAGTGGACAAAAATGCGTGACTTTCGCGGAGACGAACGAAATGCATCATATTGCCGCGGTTCTGTTTAGTCATCAAGAGAAGTGGGTAGTGAACTGTTCGAACTGATGGATGTACATTTCGTTCGATGATGATCGCATTGTACACGTTTAAAGCAACCAGAAATAGTATAACATATGGGTGGAATAGAGGATAAACACGCCTCACTGATCTGAGTGCGTATCCATCATACCCATCCTTTGTTCGCTGCGACGAGAAGTGCCCCGTTGGATTTTACCAGAGGAAACCGACATGCGGTGAAAAAACGACATAACAGAGGATAGAAAAGAGATGCTAATTCAAAATTACAATAAACCTGAGGGTAAATCCATACCACGAAAACTAATAATGAGAACACCTTTAACTCAAAATTGCACCTAGTATCTGATACACGACATCGCTCCTTTTAAGAAATATAATTGTCTCATTTGTTGGCAACCCCAAAAACTGCCCAGAAGGATATTGTGCAGGCGGATGCTTCATTCAGCTCAAAATCATAGAACTAAAGACAAATAGGTAAAACATTCTTTTTCTTGTATCTATTTTATAAACACAAGATATATCGCTTGAAACCGCAATTGTGTTAAAAAACATTTGTGACCCAACTGTTGTTTGCCGTGGTAGTGATGATGTCTCACACTTGATGCCACCCTCTCATAGCATGACATGACCTTCCCTTACCCTCCACATCAAATTTTGTCATCAAACTTGACCTCAACCCCTAACCAAACACAAATCACGCAATTCACTTGTCCACCACCTTGTTCAGATGACTCAGTTCAACTCTTATATTTCTTTGTTTTACATGATCATATAAATGTGCGTTTACGGCTGAATGAGAGGACGCGATGTTGATGGCCAATATCAATTCTGGTCACATGTCTTCTTGTGTTTATGAAAAATAAGTAATGATAATAAGTCTTTTTTCTTCCTTTATATTTTTATTAAATATACAAATGTACAGTCAACATTCAGGAAGGAAAGCCGCGGCCATACAAAGGATGTCTGGGAAAATACAGAAATAGAGAAGACGGGCAGCGGTGGAGCAGTTCGAACCCTGAACTTTCGGGTCACAATTTGCTGACCTAACCACGTGGCGACCACCGCCAAGTTATTGAAATCATAAGTCTACTTGCTCTTGCATTTAACCGAGTGATTCAATTTGTTCACACAAACCGCATTTCCCCAACATCACTTGTCTAAAATCACTTTTTCTCGTTTAATGGTCGTTAAGTCGATATTGGTCAGCTCCAGAGGAAGTCCGATAGCCACTTGCATTTGAAGGTCTTTCACCGTGACAAGACATACGAGTTATCTTTTAAAATAGAGGTGGTAGTCCGAAAAGGCAATAAACAGGCAATCTGTTTACACACGGATTTTGTATAGGGTACTGTGAGGGGTAAACGGATTTCCGGTGGAAACACTTCGATGATGAGCGAAGGAGGATAAGTGATAGCGCGGTATTTTTAACCTTCAACGGCCATAGAACTCGAATGAACATGAAACACATGACACCACTATTACAATCATTGGAACTGCATTATTATTAGACGGATGAAACCTGTCTAGCCCAGACCAATCAAGACCTGAAAACCGGAGCGTCAACACTTCGAGTAACCTCATAAATTACTCCAGAAGGCAGCTTACTGAAAATTAAAGGTTCCCACTTTTAGCATACAAATACTGAGAAAGGAGAGTATAAATCCAACGTATCTATTTGTCTTTTTGGATGAAAACGTTTGTGCACCAATAAATAGAGTTACTTTTTCAAACAGATTTTGCCACCCAACAACGTTATGCCCTACAATGATGCAAACTAGTTATAAGGATCACTAGCACCGGACCGTAAAGTATCACGGCCACCTAAACAGTGGCCTAGAACTGGTGCATTTAATTGTAGATTCACTGAAGCCGATGGAAATGGACTCTGGATTCTTCACACATCAATATAGGATCAAGGCAAAGCAACTGCACCGTCCATCACAAAGTTAAATAGAAAGAGAGAGCAACCCTGACGAACACCACTTTCTTTAGTGAACTCGGAGGAGAAAGTGCCGTAACCTAGGAATCGGCTTTGGTTATTAGTATAAAGGGATTGTAATATTGAAACCTCTGAATACATTTATTTGGTGGGCAGTTAGCGGGAAGGACGAAAATACGCATGTTGGAAGGTGTCTCATCAACACTGAGTGTAATAAACGTTAACTAACTAATGTCCATAAAATCTAATTCTCCGGTAGATGGTTCGCATTCTCTATTGTCAACAGCTTCCACACTAAACATAACATTGTAGCGCTGCCGCCGTTTTTCCTGAACCACCGATTGTAATATGTTGTGCGCTGTGACAATGACGAAGTACTTTACACGGCACCTAAACTCAGTGTTGTTTAAATAAGCTGAAGGCATCACGATGTAAACACGTGACCGAAAACACGAAGACCGACCAAGTATGCGACGTAGAGGCCTCTCAAGGTGTGTACTATCATTTGGATTCTCTGTCCACTACTTCGAATTGGATGGGCGACGTGAAATCACTACTAGTTTCGGGTACCATACACGATATCAGAACGGAATTTGGATTAGCTGTGACCACAGGTGAACCTTGATTAAAACCGACTAAATGTTCAGCTAGCCCAGTGGAATAGTTTAACAGATATAATGGTGGATAAACAGCTACTGATACTGATTGGACGGTTCAAATTCATTAGGGCTGTGTCGAATCAGACTGTGCAACTGAACGACAGCGGCCGACGATTTTCTCTTTCCTCTCTATATATAAACCTACCTGATTCCGTTTACATCACGCAGTTGATGGTTAGATCGCAAACAAATTTTCTCACAATAGACAAAGCAACCATGCCAGACTTAGTTCCGCTTCAGTTCAGCAATTAAAAAAAAAAATTGCTGAGAACATGGACAGATGAATCGTTTGAATGAACACGAACCCTTAATAGAAGAACAACTCTACCAGGGAGAGTTGGATATACACCAGAAGTGGGTTTGATTGCTAGTGGAAAAAATGTGCACGCCGTCCTTTGATAATAACTGTCGTGGATAACAGACCCCCCCCCTTATAGAGTGCAACCTCTCACTCCGGATAACTTGAGGGATCCAATAGTACTCAATTTAAAGGAAAGAAATCAGATGAAGTTTCGATTCTTACCCTTACCCTCCATTAAGCGCCAGTGCTTCGTTGAAAGATTAGCTGTCAATAAGGCTCCACAAAGTGTATTTATTTACCATGGTATTTTAATGCGATCATGGAATCCCATGGAATCTAAAATGGCCTGTTTATCGCAACGGTCTGAAATTGAAGATAAGAAGCTAGTCCCAAGAGGTTTACCATTAATCTATCTTTTTGCTCTCTAGGAAATCTCTCTTCCTGAGAGCGCTATTTTAGCTGAATGCTAGCGTTCACTTCACAGATTGCAACGATCCCTGTAAACTTACACATAACAACCCAAAAGACAATGTGCCTTGTGACAAAAAGGTTTATTCTACAAAAAAAAGACTAAAAATAGCAAAAGAAATGGTACCGAGTGCAAACCTTCAAATGCAACACTATTCCATCAAACAAAACAGCGGAATTAGTGAAGGCAGCAATACTGAGCATACAGAGCGTATTAATTGAATCAAACAGAAAGTGGTAAGCGGTAACATCATTCAGTAGAAGACTCAAGGAAATGACAGCACAGGTAAGCCTCTGAGTGTGTCAACGAGATAAGAAACAGATAAATCAGGCGAGAAAGACCGACAACACACAGAAGGACAAACTCCAGGGTTGCATGCGTGGCTGTTCAAACCGTGCGCAAAAGGTATGAGCGACAGAATGAGCTTAACTGCCATCTACTTGGATGCATCAAGTTGACTCAAGTGCTCAAAGTTGGTTATGCGCGACCTAGTAACGATAACATGATTGACTCTCATCCAAATACCCCCATGTGCGTGTTTACGAACTCCCAATCACCACTCTTATATTCATCATATTTCAATATTACTCTAACAGTACATTTTTATTCATCTAGATGTTATTGACACCGTTTCATAATTTAATGAAACTGTTGCATGTTGCAACCGGTGTACAAAATTTATCCGTTTGATTAATGGTTTTAACCGAGGATAAGGCTTAGACTAACCTCTGATGTGAGGGAACTCACTCCTGGTTGAGGACCTCGTGACTAACCCAATTAACGATTTGGGGCTTTGGGTGATACTGATAAGAATCGTTGACAATGGGGTTCTAGTATTTACCCGCCTTCCACGCAGATGTGATTCACATGTTTCCCATATTCTTTATCCTGATTGTGCTCGCGGCTCGAACACTCACTCTTCGGTCATTGGATGGTGTTAAGGTAGCACTCAAAACGGTCTTACGAGTGCCATATTATTAAATGTGCAAAAATTTCGTCACGGTTAATCTTTTGTTTATGTTTCTAACAAAGGTCTAATTATCTGCGATAATCTGGTTATTCCGTACTGGCGTATCTCATTGGTTTACACACTAAACTTTGAAAGTGAGCGAGCAATATGAACGATGCGAATTTCCGATTGTTTGTCCCGATGATCTTCCACTTAAGACAGCATCGTAATCATGGTACAATCCCTTGCAGGGCAATACATGTATTCCCTTATTGCATAAGGCCACCAACGATGATTGAAACAGTCAAAAACGAAAAGGGTACGACACGGTTAAGTTGGTCCCAGGTCAAAACATCCTGACTGACAGTGAGCGGTGGAATTGTGGAACACGAATTCTCCATAAATCAGGGAATATAACAGACAGTTCGAAACTTACCACATATTCGAAGACCAGTGTGAGCGACTTCTCCGTGTGAATAATGTCGTGCAATGTGACAATATTCGCATGTTGCAAATTGCGCAACAGACTGACCTCACGAATCGCGGTACACGGTGCACCTTCCTCGTGTTCAAGTCGGATTTCTTTCAAAGCCACTAATGTCTCAGTCAACAAGCTACGACCTTTGTAAACAGTCGCATACGTACCCTGAGGAAGGAAAAATGGAGATAAACTTCGAAGCATCAGTTAGTACATGTTTGATTGCATCGAACTGCGCAACTTGTGTCAGGAATATAGTTTTGGACAAAAAGAGATTGATTAAGAGTCGTGGCATTCCTGAAGTCAAAATTAGTAACATAAGTATAACTAAAGAAAAAACAATTGACTATTTCCGTTGCTATTTATATTCGTGCAAACGAAAAAAAAGGCTAAATTGTAGTGTCCAGCATTGGAGAGTGGGAGTCGAGTGGCAAAGGAATCATAACAGTTGTGTTATTCAAACCATGGGAACGGAAAAAATTGCTGCAGTGAAACGGCCATTTTACATAGAACAGTACATACATATTAGTCTCTCCCTCTGTCGGCTCACATACACACTACTAAAACTACATAGCTTTGAGGATATATTGAAAACCCATCGCATAGTAGTGTACAGGCACTTATGCATTCGTCAGTTATATGGAACGAGTAAGCGAATCGAGTGACTGGCGGAACAAAATTTAGTTGTCCCATCGGGTCGGTAGGCTGATCAATTGCAACGTAAAGTTGATGCGAACGTGTGTGAAAGAAAAACAGCAGCACCTTGAAATACGACCCTCATGATCATCGTTGGTTTATGGTTGGGATTAGATGGCCGTTTATCAGATGAATACTTTCGCTTAAGCCACATAAGGATGCCAAATAACAAGCCCTGTGCAAATTTTATCCAGAAATGAGGAACGACAGAAAACAATAAAACAAACTATTTAATTGGCCAAGAGACTCCACGTGTTGCTTAATCTAATACGCCTGAGTGAAATTTAAGACGCATTGTGAACGTGTTCAAAAAAGGATGAACGTCCGTGAAATGGAACGGGAAATAATGTGGTATATAACAGAGGTATACAAGTGAATTAGTTAATTCATTTTATCATGAAATCGATATACGTGTTTTCTTCAGAGCACATCACTATATCGATCTTTGTATGTGTTCACCTCTGTGCGTGTTCAGGAGATTAATACGTGACGCAATTTTCCTATTAATCTATTTCAAATCACATAGTCGATGCACAGATTCCTGTGATTGGTCAATTTGTTCATTTATCTATTCAACTAAGCTTTAAATTGTAAAAAGCTACAAACCACATCAGACGATAAAGGTGTATTGGCTATAGCGAATTGCGACCGCAAGCTGACCGTACGTTCTGGTGTGCATAAATAATAGTCTGCTTTTAGCCCTCAAGGACTGCCGGATACATTGGATATGCTTTCTGTATATTCTTATTTAATCCGATACCTCAAATTTCTTTCAATTCTTTTCATTTACTGTTGAAACTATGAAAAGTTCAGTAATCTGGCTGGGGTTCGAACTCACGCACGGATGCCGTCTTCGCCTTAGTACAGCGCACGCTCTACCAGCCGAGCTACGAGGTTACACCGATAGCACTCATGTTTTCACATTCAAATCACCCATTCAAATTAGAGAGGCATATGGCATACAACAGGTAGCATGTAGGCCGACTGCCACGACAGGTTTTCCTAAGAATTCACCGGAGTCTACCTCGTAGCCCATCTGTTAGAGCGTGCGCTGTACCAGATAACAAAGTACCATGATTTGAAATTGAGTACTGCTTACCTGACCCAACATGTCCAACTTGGCATACGATTCCAGTTTACCGAATCCAATTTCGGACTGTAGAAAACGGAAAGAAGAAAGAAGACGGATATGAAATAGTTGAAATCAAATTAATACGGCAACACAAAAATTAAGAATGATCAACGGTCAGGGGAAGCTCACGCCAAGACTTAGCTTCATCAGCAGCTGATGTGAAGCGTTGTGACGCTTAAGACACCATCTAAAATGACCGTGAGACAATTTAAAAACCTATCGTTCGACTTCAGTTTCAATTTGATCAACGTATTTACCTCAACTGCACACGCACGAACCCACAAGCAGTTCACTGAGTTTGCAACAGAATACTAAATAGGGGATAACGATTTCAAAGTTTTTCATGCTGACAATACTTTTTTGCTGTTAAATTAAAAAACGGGTTTGGTAGTTCGAAAGTACCATCAGGGTAGTTATAAGCTATACGAAAGCAGAAAGTAAGCAACACCTTGGCGTTGGATGCGGTGTACGACCATTAAAAGCAGGTCATTTGTACAGCCCAACTCCCATCACAATAACACCCATGCTGTTTCTCGGCTGGAATCATGCTAACTCTAAAGATGCCTTATCACATTCATTAGTTGCTTCAAGTCCAATGACCCAGAATCTTGATTTTTACAATCAAGTATAATGTTTTCCCAAAAACTGGAGTTACTCCGCCCCTCCCTTTTCTGTTTTATGAAATCGGCCATAAAAAGTAAAGTACGGCGAAAAAATACTTTTTAGGTTCTTCATAGTTCAGAGAAGACACAAAGAAAATGGTACGGTGAAAAGACGGAGTAAGTTATCACTAGTCATTTTACGTAAATATAAAAACTAAGCAAAATGCCGTCATGATGTTTCCCCTAATAACGAGTACAATTTTGCTATGGAAATTCATCGTTCGAATGCACAAACAGCACAAACTAAGCTATCGAAGAGTGGATGAAAACAATACAAGATCTTCATTGTTTTCCCACATTTTGCTACTGATTTTGTTACTTATTAGTTCGGACCGTTGTGACATTTTGCAAGTGGACATTGAGCTCTTTACCAACGTGACCAAATCCATCGGTTATTATAATAACACCTAGAAAAGAGGGAACAATCCGTGCATGTATGTGTGTGACTTCACATAATGCTTTGCACAACAATATCCACTCGATCTGTACGCTACATATTGATCTAACTGGGAATAACTCTTTTGTACAGGGCCTCCTAATGCCATGGAACGGTTGGAAGTGGCTGTCTCGGGGTCCGAAATAGCTGGCTAGAAATGCCCCCTAACGACCAACCGCCTCAATCGGTTTCTACTGAGGAAGACCTACACATGACCTTATCGTGGTGGTGTTAATGCTTAAGTCATAGGGCAGGGGCGAATGTCCGGCGTTTTCTACCGGGTTGACAGACCGTTGGTATTCAGTCTAGGGGAGTTGGTTAAACCTTTGGCCTTTGGAGTCGAACACCGTGACGCTCACCGACAAGTGTGCGGTTCGAGGACAATCTGAGTACTCTGAGTAGTTAGTCAGATCCGAAAGGTGTATGAACTCGT